TGTACATGATTGACAATCGTTCAAACCCTATAAAATCCTGCCAATGCCGCTCGAGGAAATACGTCTGCAAGGCAGTGAGATCGATATGAAAGTACGACGAGGTCAAGCGCACCACATCTGCAACGTCGGCGTGCTTCAAGGAGTTATGGTGGTTCGTGAGTATAAGGCCGAGGATGATAGTAGCCATGCTACTGGTGACAGATAAATAGCATAGAAGTTGGGTCACAAACCGGTGCCGCTGACCCGCACCCATCTCGTCGACCGAAGGTATAGCAAGAAACGCCATATTAACCGCAAGGAGGACGGTCGCCTAGCCGTATCGTCGTATACAGCTCTCCCTTGAAGCATATCAAGATTCACACGCACCAGTATGCTGTGCTGTTGCCATTTATCCGTAATCTGCTCTATGAGACGCTGCCATGGCCCTCTTGAAATCAGCCTATCCACCCAGACCTTATTGAGCGAAGTGTAGTGTTTGATCGGCGCATAGAATAGTAAGAGGTTCATCGTCATGAATAGAATGGTGCGCTTCTCGTTGTGAAAATTGTATCCGTAAACAGATTCATCCCGACTGGTTCGAGCATCCCGTTGACCGTGATAATTATGAATTTGATCGTGTACTGGTCGTTGCAATCGGTTAGTGCCAAGCAACCAAAAAATGTGATACTCACACAAAGCCATCATGAACGCCGCTGAAGGTTAATTCAGTGAAAAGGTATGGCAGATATTATAGACCACACTTGCCTGCTATTTCAGAGATGCACAATTCTGAGATGTGGGCTCTGTTGATGGCGACGCTACTGATAGAGTGTGATATCTTACTTTCTGCTTCGATGATGATTTTGCTCATGCTTTTCAGTTTGTCAATGCTGATAGTCACGGTTGATGTTTCGGACATGATTACATCTACGGAAAAGAAGAGCTGAGTTCTACAATTCCAAGACAAAAAGAAAGAATCCACCTGTTTCCGCGAGTAAAATATATTTTCTGACTAATTTCCACTGTGCGTCCGTAAGTTGGTGAAGGTCGCTGAAATAATAAAGATGGTTCCTAGGAGATATAACTATCGACAATGATCAAGGGATGCGAAGAGAATTACCAGTATTGTCTCTGCAGATACCCTCGGGAATAAGTCAGCCTTGCGACGTAACGTGTTCAAACTGCCGACTTACTGCGAATCAAATCACCGCTCATCTCTCCTCTGAGCTCCAACAGATAATCATCCAGGATGCACTCGGAAAGCCAGAAGATAACCTCAGCATCGTGGTCGACAAAGTAATATCTGCAACGAAAGCCATTGTCTCCTTCCCACGCCGGCACCCCGTCCTCTGCAATTTCTATGAATAGATGCCAGGATTTGAGGCGACCGAAGCGTTCCGCCCTTTTCGACATGGCGTCATTGAGGATGCTGATGTATCTAGTTACCTTCTCGGCAATGACACTTTCATATAACCACTCTTCCGTGATTATTTTCTATAAGGATTCTCAGATGTAGTCACACAAAGAAACTGGAAAGACGCACATCGTGATCATGATAAAAATACGGTTTACCATCTGAATGTGTATGCTTCGTCCAACCCACAGGTAGAACTTCTTCCTCTCCACTACGACGACGAGTCAATATTCTGACGGCCCCGCGAGATGATACATGTACGTTTGAGGCGAGATATATGTGTTGAAGTCGGTTTGCATTGCAGGTACTGTGAATTTTGCCTCTTTACATTCGTCTCTGAACACTGCGATGTTAATTATCATTAAGCGGAGCAAAAGGAGAACACTGACATGATTGTCTTTCTGCCATAGTGTCCTGCCTCAGACGGAAGCAATTCCGTGAACTCTCTCTCGTCCTCGAGCCAATCGTGCGTAGACTCTACCGCATCGTCGTTGGGCACAACTATCGATTCACTAGACTCTGCTTCGGCGACTTGATTCTTCGTAAATTGTAAACGTAACAGGAAGGCACGTAAATTAGTGTCACTTGTAGGTGAAAGATCGGATCCGACGGAAGATTCTGTATGGTTATCTCCAGCACCAGAAGACGAGGTCTCGACGCAAAAAGCATCACTGTGATGTGATAAAAGTCGAACGGTCCACGGGTCGGCTTCTCTGTGAAGGCGCCGCAGAGATTGACACACTCGTAGGTGGGGTGCATGGCATAACAATCTCTGAGACCTTCGCAGCACCACTATATCAATATGCGCTCGGATCCCAAGTAATGCACACGACGGCGAAGGCGAGGATTCGTCCGTGAATTGGTGGCCGGCGACCTTGAGGATGATACGGTTGAGGACGGGCCAACTTCGACGAGGCGGGCTCTGGGGTGCTCGCCGAGATGGAGAACTCGATGTCCAGACCATCCATACCGGGCTCGGTAAACGATGTAACTTGGTAGCTAAGCTCAGCAAAGCTGTTTCGATAAGAGTCTGCCGTATCCAAGTCCACTGTGTCTGTGGGCACGAGCTCCGAAAGGCTGATGAGCGAGGCATGGCGTTGGAAAAGAGGAGAACGATAACTTCCAATTTATGGATTCTGAAAAGCTGTTGAATGTGAAAGCTGTCGAGTGCGGAGACCACCCAAAAGTAATATTCGGAAAAAGAATGCCCGGTACGCTTTCCCATTCGCCGTGTAAAGCTGTTCGAAGGCATATCAGGATCCAAATATAACGAGATCTAGTACGGTTAGAGTGCAAGCATTGCTTGAAGACTGAGATCGGAGATCTATGGAGACTCAATCACTTCATAGAAGACTAGGGTATATTGTAGTGTGTTCACAACGGACAACGACGGTAAAGGACGACAGCTAGCTGCGAAAGTGATATCTGCATTCAGGCTGCGGGTAGTGTCAGGCGGATGATGGTTTATGTCTGAAGGCTATGGTTCGAAGACAGCATCTATCAGACCATCCCTCCCACACTCAAAAAAGCCATGGGAGTAAAGACGATCAGAAAGGGAACGAAGAAGCGTAGGTTCTTATCTCAGGGTAGAAAGCGGTGATATCACTATGAGTCATATATACAGGAATGGACAGCACAACGTCTGTTTCGTTCCTAATCCAATCTTTAGAAGATCCATGAGACTGTGCGAACAGAAGTGTTAGCAGAGCATCATATAACGAGCTTAAACGATACGTACCTTGCTGTTAATAATGACTCAGTCAAGGTATCATCTGCTCTTCAGAGGGCCAACGTTTACTTGAAGAGGTATAAACGATGATCTCGCTCTTTGCTTGTTCCTCCTTGTGACGCTAAGGTGTGCCTAATAGTTCCCGGCCATACAAACACGATACAAACAGCCGCAATATCTCCTCCTTACTGGATATGCAGCTCTCTAAGCCTGTTAAATGAGACCTCATTTGTCTTCGTAACAGACGCATCCCAGGAATATTGGGTAGCTTAGAAATGAGATAATGAGGTGTACATTCGCACCAGGACGCGGCCACAGTAATGGTGGCAACTACAGCAGTTTTGATTACTTTCAATCGCGTGCAGGTAGGTGAATAACATCCCCTCGAGTTATGTTACACCGATTGTGTCGCGGAGTCGTTTGTCGCCTAGTATGACGATAGTGAACCAAAGTTTTCCAGGAAGAAAACAAGAGTGATGGTCGTTGTTACAGCTCATGCCGTACGATACGATGAACTGCAATCTGTTGATGGAACTTGACAAGGTCGCTCTGAGTGAGCGCCGCGGCGGGCCCGGGATTAGCGTGCACGTGTGAGGCTCGGCCCGGTTCAACGTACACGGATCACCCCGGCGTTAATTCGGGCACGCTCTCGTGATTTTTTGCTCTAAGTAGTTACCGGTACAAACATGCATCTCATCACGTCTGGTCAGCAGTTCGGCCCTTTGCTTGGCTGAGTGTCTAATTTCAACGCACCGGTCAAAAACCATTTGTGCCTCCTCGTTGCTATCTTTATTTCGCCTTTTCCATCGACATAGCGACATGGAGTTATTCTGTGATGGGGTGAACAAAGAGGCTCTATGGCATGCAGGACAGGATGTATGTTGGTTACTGTTTTTTGAAGTAAGTTGCATGTATAAGTCCTACAATGTCGCCAGCTCAAAGGTCGCGCTCTCTTAGATTGACCGTCGATGAGGTCGACTTAAATCACAGATGCCACTCTATTAACGTATGGCCTTCAATCCACCGTGGACTGACGATACCTTACCCCAAGACTCTCCATCATGCCTTACCTAGGATGTACTACCCAGTAAGTTCTCACCCGCGAGCCAGGAAAGCCTCTACAGCTCTTCAAGCCGTGGCCGTGGAGTAAATGCTAGTATCCAACCCGTTGCGATGTGTATACGTGTGTACCGACAGAGCAGCTACTACGCGAGTACTCTGGTGCCCATGGTAAAGCCTGTTGTCCATGATCTTCAAGTGTGTTCATATGAATTTCGACCATTCCGAGCTTATTAGGGCTGCCAGGCTTACCGTATTTTTGGGGCGAAGAACAGTCCGGTCGGGAAGAAGGCAAGAACGAAGAAGCCGACAGCCTGAATTGACTTCACAGGATCTTGGTCGCAAATACTTCCAGTTCTGACGAAAGTGAGGAATTCAACAACTTCCACGCCGATTCTACATACCTGTTCAGATATTTGGACTTTCAATGAATTTTCGGACACCTCACGATATGTTTCGAGAGTATGCGATTGCTTCCGTTCTTTAGTAAGTATTAATCTACACGTATCGTCCCAGGATCCTTTGGGAGCGTTTCACTGGCATAGGACAAGCGACAACTTCGACCCTGTCATCTCGTTAGGCTGTGGCCCTTGTCGTACCAGCGTGCGCCATGCTTTATATCTCCCACCAGCCGAGCAGCGGCGAAGCTACATGAGTTTTTAAATGGATGTAAACTCCGTTCCAGATTAAGAGGCGTTCTGTGTTGGACAGAATGGTAAAAGTCTGCATCATCTTTGGTTTCCTAGCTGTTGGTTGTCAGGAATCTCATCAACGAGGTTTCTCAGAGCTATCACTATTAGTCGGCTTCCGAGCAATGTATCTCTGGTAGTATATCGGTTAGTACACGCGCCTGTCATTTAAGGGTGTATTCGCCAACGCGCGAAAGCTGGGTTCGACTCCCAGCCAGAGAGTCAAGTTGAAGGAAGACTTTTTTTTTGGACTTGCGGTCTCCGGCTGAGGAGGTAAGTAACCATTTGTTAGTACTGGCCTCTGTTATGGCGGGTAGGTTCGCAGCAAAAACTAGCAAGGAGACGTCTCCCACCGGTAATTAACCGCGACGTGTATCAAAAGATTCAAAACCTAGGCTTCGTGCACCGGCCTGGTAACCAGTTAATGTGGTGTACCGTAATCTAGCGTATGGTGGGATAACGCCACGTGTCTGTATATCGTCCCTTTTCCATTCTACCTCCTTAACCAGTATACAGTGGTATGCACACTACAGACGACTATAAATCTAGAATCAGTCAGATCTATAATTTGGATTGTACGTAGAAACAATGACGCTTAAAAGACCTTGACAGGAAAGAGTAGATTTCTCGCATAAATGAATGTCTTATCCCACCAGCTCAAGCGGTCACTCAGCTCGTACACGACGACTGAAATGACCTATTTTTTCTGCGGACCTCAACATCCACGAGAAAATAGTATTATTGATGCCCGTACACGGTTTAGGGGTGGGGCGTTCAGAAGCACTAATGTGCGATAATGAGTTCGGCAAAAGCTACACAGCGCGGAGTTAAAAAATAACATAGTTAGTAAAACGTCTGTGTTCAAATCTATGAAACATACAAAGGCACTTATGGAATGACGCATACAGGCATAAGTACGAAAGAAATACATGAAACGTTTCTGTCCCAATTGCGTTTCTTTGTTTTATCCTTCCTCACACAACTCCGCCAGACGTCGTAGGTAAGATTGATTCTGCCGACCCAAAGACTGCCCCATGGAGCTTCTTTCGAAATCTGCGAATGTTATCATACGATAGGATCGCTCGCAGCTTCGCTTTTAATCTGGAAAGAGCTTCAGGCCAAAACTCCAAACATCGCTGCATCCACTCATCGCTGCCGTCCCAGAACATGTAAATGCACCACACACAGAGCACAGTTCCAAGGAGGAACACCAATGCCACAAATACTTTCAGCAAAACGGGGTTGGAAGCTTCCAAGCACATCGAAAGGAATGATGCCAAAAATGTTACCATGCTGGCCCCCTGCATTAGTCAAGGAGACGAAATTCAGAAATCATCGACTTACCTCCACATAAGAAGTGAGTAAGGACTACTGTACATGATCGACAATCGTTCAAACCCAATGTTCTGCTGCCAGTGCCGCTCGAGGAAATACGTCTACAAGGCAGTGAGATCGATATGAAAGTACGAGGAGGTCAAACGTACCACATCTGGAATCTCGGCATGCTTCAGGGAGTTATGGTGGCTCGTGAGTATAAGGCCGAGAATGATAGTAGCCGTGCTACTGGCGACAGATAAATAGCATAGAAGTTGGGTCGCAAACCAGTGCCGCTGACCCGCACCCATCTCGTCGACCGAAGGTATAGCAAGAAACGCCATATTAACCGCGAGGAGGATAGTCGCCTAGCCGTATCATTGTATGCAGCTCGTCTTTAAAGAATATCAAGGATCATACGCACTAGTCCGACTTGCTGTTGCCATTTATCCGTGATCTGTCCTATGAGACGCTGCCACGGCCCTCTTGAAATCAGCCTATCTACCCAGACCTTATTGAGCGCAGTGTGGTGTTTAATCGGCGCATAGAGTAGTAAGAGGTTCATCGTCCTAAATAGAACAGTGTGCTTCGTGTTGTTAGGTCTGTATCCGTAAACAGATTCATCCCGAGCGGTCCGAACATTCCGTTGACCGTGATAGTTATAAATTTGATCGCGTACTGGTTGTTACAATCAGTCAGTGCTAAGCAATAAAAACAACGTGATACTCACACAAAGCTATCATGTACGATGCTGAAGATTAATTCAGCGAATAAGAACTGGCAGATCTTATAGACCAGGCTTGCCTGCCACTTCAGAGGCGTCCAATTCTGCAATGTGGGCTCCGTTGATGGCGACTCCATTGATAAAATACGATGTCTTACCCTCTGCCAAGGTAATGCAATCGCCCATGGTTTTCAACTTTTCGATATTGTAAGTCACAGTTGAAGTGTTGGACATGATTACGTCTGTAAAAGAACAGTTACGTTTCGCAGGATGGGATGAAGCGAAGTAAATAACCCGTTTTAGCGAGTAAGATCGATTTTTGGACCCTCTGCCACTGCGATTCCATGAGTTGGTGAACTTCGCTGAAATAATAATGATGTGTCCTGGGTAATATATCATTATCGACAATCATCAAAGGGTGTGGAGAGAATTACCAGTATTCTGTCTGCAGGTACCCTTCAAGAATAAGTCAGCCTCACGGCGTAACATGTTTATACTGCCAACTGACTGCGAATCAAATCAGGGCTCATCTCTCCTCTGAGCTCCAACAGATAATCATCCAGTTCACACTCGGAGAGCCAGAAGATGCACTCGGCATCGTGATTGACAAAGTAATATCTGCAACGAAAGCAACTATCTCCTTCCCACGAAGGCAGCCCGTGCTCCGTAATTTCTATGTATAGATGCCAGGATTTGAGGCGATCGAAGCGTTGCGCTCTTTTCGAGATGGCGTCCTTGAGTATGCTGATGTATCTAGCTACATTCTTGGCAATGACTTTGTCATATAACCACTCTTCGGTGATTATTCTCTACAAGAAATCTCAGATTCGATCCCACAATCAAATTGGAAAGACACACATCGTGATCATGATAAAAATACGATTTACCATCTGAATGTGTATGCTTCGCCCAACCCACAGGCAGAACCTCTTCCTCTCTGCTACAACGAGTCAAATTCTGCCGGCCTTGTTAGATGGCACACGTACGTTTGAGGCAAGATGCAGGTGTATGTGTTGAAGTCGGTTTGCATAGCAGGTACTGTGAATTTGGCCGGGTAAAATTCGTCTCTGACCACTAGATGTTACTTAACATTAATCCTAATGAAACAGAGCACTGACATGAACGTCTTCCTTTTGTAGTGTCCTATACTAGACGGAAGCTTCTTTTCGAACTGCTTCTCAACATTAGACCAGTCGTGTGTAGACTCTGATAGACCGGTTTGAGATATGACTGTCGATTTGCTAGACTCCGAGTTCAGTGAACTGGTAACCGAGATAAACTCTCGTTCGACGACGACAAGCGAGGACGACGCGTGGTCTTCATCAGCAGTGTCTTGTATCCTATGCGAGGGTGCAGCTAGGCTAGAAATTGACTGCATGGTTGATCGGTGAGAACGGTGACTTGTAAATGGTGAGATCTTAAGTAATTACGTAGGGCCGTACATCGTAGCCGAGTTGTCCGTTGAAACCAATTTTGTGTGTATGTCATACCGAAGCCGAGAGCATTCCAGGCGATACTGCACATAAGTTACAGCCTTCGACTGTATTTGTGCGGCAGTGCTAAAAACTAGTATCGTAGTCACGACACAGTGATCCATATGAAGAAAGATAAGACGGGTAGGCAGGTGGGTTGATAGCCTCGTCGGTGGGCGCTTGATTGGAACGAGCCAGAATCGACTAAAAAAATTTCTTCTGTTGCTGCATAAACAACAAGAATAGAATCGTATCATCATAGACTCCGCCAGATGAAAAGAAGAGCACAAGTGTTCATTGGCCTCAGTGCCATCAGTCAGATAAAATATCAACCAAAGCTAGTGGTGATGAACCCGTTGGATGCACAACCGGCTAGTCACTAGTGCCCTCTCAAGTGGCTGTGTTGGCCGAATCTTGCCGGTGGCTGGCAGGATTTGCGAGCTAACTTTATGGCGCATCCCTGCGGAGTGGTCCCGACTCTCAGAATCTTCTTTCGTGAAATTCACACTGTCGGTAAGAGCACAGAGCACACTGCATCCCAAACCGGTGTACAGACATCAACCAATATCCCTTCAAATTCCAGTTGGCCTAATACAATCAGTATGTCAGTAAATACTGCTACGGTTTCGGGGAACCATTTCAATTTGCAGGATTTTAAGGCCATGATATATATGAATACATATGCTCTAGGAATGACATTCAGGAATTGATAGTGACTCAGGTTGACGAAAAGGGAAAGAGAAGGCGGTTCATCTCCATTCATGGGCGCTGGCCAGCATTACAGAGAACGTCATTACGAGTGCACTCTTCGGCTAGGGACCATGCTTTAAGGATGCTGTGGTCTGTCGTCGCCTAAGTACTGAAAGTTTGGTTAACAACGCAGCCATGTATCCCACGTGTTTCATTACCGATTAGTCTATGGCACCGTGTTCTGAGTGGCAGCATCTTGACTGACTTCTATGTCGGACAATGTTTTATGAGAGTGAGTGAGGAACCAATGAATCTCTCCGAGGAGTAGTAAACGTACGTTCTTCGTAACATGACCTGTCCTGACCGGCTATCATAGACGTACCTGCCCCTCATCAAGCAGCCTCGTTCGACTTGGGAGTGGAAGTTGGGTCATTCGTTCCTTTTGGGTGTGCCCACTCCATATAGCCAGTAATCCAGTGAGTGTTCTCGCCAGTGTATGTGGGAGCGGTGATGTTGATAGTGACTGATAAATATCGGCTACTGCGGCGAAAGAAGCTTGTGGTCCTAATTGGCTAGTATAAATTTGGAAGTGATTTGCTTGTAGTTAACTTGGGTGTATCAAAGACGGTTCGGGCGCATTTGTGATGTGGATACAAAAAATGATCCATAAAGGAGACCTCCCTGACAAGAAACAGTAGATCTCTCGTGACGAACATCTCTTTTCGGGCCAGCTTAAGCTATCATTGAGTCCGTAGTCAGTGACTGAATTGCAGTAATCTTTCTGCGGATTCGTCCACGAGAAAACAAGACACCATCTATGCCCGTCTACCATTGAGTATCCCAATCACTTAGGTAGACTCAGAGCTATATGCGCCGCGGAGTACAAAACTATAGTAATAAAACTTCTGTGTTCAAATCTATGGAACATACGAGGGCACATATGGAATGACACATACAGGCATAAGTACGAAAGAAATACATGAAAAGTTTTGTCGCAACTGCGTTTCTTTGCTTTATCCTTC